GAATGAATAAAAGGATGTCCTGAATTATTAGAGTGACTTTCGATGATTGTATGAAGGCTTAATTATTAGGGTTACTGTCTGATGACAAAAGGACGGCTTTAATTCTTTAAGTCAGTATCGGTTAGCTGTTACATATTGAATGGTAAAAACAATGCTGTAAAGTCATGTAATTAAGAATTTTCAAAGTAAACTGATCGAAGTATAAAAAGTTACATCAGTCAAAGCACAAATGATTGAACAGTAGTATATAAAAATATATTGTTCATACTCAACTGAACTGATTTTTCGTACGATGTATAGGTCTATGTCGTCTTTCAGCTAAAGCTCAGATTGCCTTCTGAACTCAAAAAAACAAACATAAAACTTTCGTCTTCATAAAACTTGTCGTCTAATAGTTCATGTTTAAGCTCGTTAGCAACCCAAAGATCAGACTTCCTGTGTCTTGGAGGTGCAGAGTAAATGATCGTATTATCTAAATTTACATCAACTGTGAGGTCTAGAGCCATGGCCGGAATTAAAGCTGGAGTCAGATTTTAAGTCAAACGACAGCTGGTCTTTATCACCTTTGATCTTATATCTTAATTGATAATTTGTTTTCTTTAAAGTTATGTATATGTAACTAAACTAGAAAAAGAAATCCACAATAAGCTCTTCCGTAGAAAACATTTAATCAAGCTAATATACGTAGATACGATTCAGTGAATGTATTAACGAAGATTATAGATAATACACAAGCAAGCTAATATATGTAGATACGATTCGTTGAATGTATTAACGTGGATTATAAATAATAAACAAGCAAGCTAATATACGTAGATACGATTCAATGAATGTATTAACATGGATTATAAATAATACACAAACAAGCTAATATATGTAGATACGATTCAGTGAATGTATTAACGTGGATTATAAATAATACACAAACAAGCTAATATATGTAGATACGATTCGTTGAATGTATTAACGTGGATTATAAATAATACACAAACAAGCTAATTCAGTGAATGTATTAACGTGGATTATAAATAATACACAAGCAAGCTAATATACGTAGATACGATTCAGTGAATGTATTAACATGGATTATAAATAATACACAAGCAAGCTAATATATGTAGATACGATTCAGTGAATGTATTAACATGGATTATAAATAATACACAAGCAAGCTAATATATGTAGATACGATTCAGTGAATGTAT